GTCCTCCTGAATGTGACGTTTAAGCCCCCACTTCGTGAAAAATACAATGGTGGAAATTTGGCAACTATTTTACAAGCAACATGTTTTTTTAATAAATTCAATTGCTATTTAGTCTGAATGGTTTCTAATGTAATAAAGCATTGAGTTCACTGAGGTGCTGAGACTAAGAAGGAGCAGAAAACATCACAAGGAATCAAACTGGATTTAAGACATGACAAAAATCATCAAACAAATGCTCAGAAGATCAGAGGTCGTGCCGATTTTTTTGTCAACCCTTTTCAATTATGAAGTTTATTTTTCTAACGGCTACAGGGCTGAGAGTGGAAAAAATCCTGACCCTGAATTTTTTCCTACCCCACCCACACACACAATCCCATTACTATCTGCATATACACTGATAATACCAGCAAAAACAAATTTAAAGGCAGATAACTATCAATCAAGCCCATTAAGAAAAATGCAGTTTTAAGTAATTTTGTACTGAGCAAAGGATTACTTATGATAAATTATTGAAATTTGATCCTTTTGAATTTAACACAACTGCAAAACCAACCTTCCAGTGTCGACTTTTATCACCAAGCATCAAGTGTGTATTATGAACGTTTTAATGTTTAAAAGGGGTAATTTATGATCTTTGTTATAGCTAAAAACTCTTGAAACCTCACTGGGAAAACAAAATCAACAGATTTTATGAGAAAAATGTCATTTACATTTCATATTTGGTCATTAATTGCATTACAGTTTTCATAAAGTCTGGTTCTAAATATAAAAGATGTTCATTAAAATGTCCAAATGGCCTGTTTTTAACAGTAGAATAATACTGTATAAATAGTTGATATTTATGATGAACTAAAAACTGATTAATTCAGAGAGAGAACATTGAGGGTTATAGAAAAAATAAAATCAAAACAAACAGACACACCTTTGCTACATTTTTGTTTAAACAAATAAATCAGTGTTAATGTTGTTAAATTCCAAGAACTAAAGCAACATAAGGAGACGGGCTGCACTCCTGCACTGCAACACCTGTCTCATTTTCTCCTGTAAACACACACCTGTTGGTTGNAGTCACAGAGGACGAGAACAGAAGCTCAAAGGCAAAAAAACCCACCATTTCCAGGCAGCTTAGGTATTTAAACGGCCATCATGGCTGTGTGGATGTGTTTAAAAGTGTGTTTATTGATTAAATGTCCCGTGAGGTGCAGTCAAAGTGTGTCAGTTTCACAGGCCTGACGCCGACCTATGACCTCGCCAGGCGCAGCAGGTAAACGGTCGTTTTACGACTGCGGCGTGTTGACAAGCGCCGACACGCTCACACGCTTCCTGCCAGGCTGCTGTGCCTCGTGTGCGTGACTTCCTTTGGCATTGCTGTGTCAACAACCCAGAAGGGGGGGTGGGGGTACAGGAAGGCCAGAGCGTACCCGGAGTTTGTTTGCATTTGGTACCAAAGGGCTTCAACATACACAGCTTTGCTCCTTTGAGACAAACTGACACAATGCAAAGGAAATGCTTAAAAGAAAGAAAACGATGGAGACAGATGAAAAAGGGACACCCAGGACAGAAGATCAGTGAAGGCAGTGGTGTTAGCTTTGTGTGATGTAAAAAACGTCTGTTTCCATGCTTTCTTACCAGCTCCCGCGGCATGAACATGTCCTCNTTTGTGCACCACACAGCATCCTTTCTTCTGGTACCACCTCTGAGACTATTTGAAAATTGATGGCTACTCCAACTTACATTTCTCATTCAAGAAGCTCCATCAGTAATATTAAAGCTCCTTAAATGAAAAGCGAAACGTATTCAGCAACATAAAAAGAAGTCCAGTTGTCATGTTTTAATGTTCTTAGGATCTCCACCAGGGGTGGAAAGAGTTCCGCTAAACCGCTAAGAGCAGAACTATCTTCTCATTTAGCGGATTAAACTACTGCTGTTATATAATTTTTCTCATAATAAATAAAAATGATGCCCTGTTACAGGCACTGCTGGACACATGTAGCATAAACTTCTAACAGAGCAAAAGGAAATAAAACTAAAATAACATTTATCAATAATTAAATAATGAATACCCAAATACAATACCCATAAACTGTTATTCGACTAACTTCAAATGGTAAAAAATATAAACTCCATGAAAGAAATGCTTTTATTCTGAAAGGGGTAAACAGTAAGTCTCACAAGTTAGACAAAGCTATTAGCTTGATATGCCACAACAGACCTCACCCACTTTTAAATTAAAGCTTGACACGTGCTGTGGAGATTCTTTTTTCCAGCTCTTAGTCTAGATCAGAGGTGTCCACTCTTGGTCTTAGAGGGCTACTATCCTGCTCATGTTAGAGGTCTCTGCTCCAACACTTGGTTTGAATGAGTCAGTGATTAATGGGCTAAGGCAGAACTTGAAGAGATAATTCAATCACTGATTCAGGCATGTTAAAGCAGGGAAGAAGATAAAACATGCAGGATGGAGGCCCATGATTGGACACCCCTGCTCTAGAGTCATCTCCAGGGTATCATGAGAGACATGAAACCCTGTTAGGAACCTGGACAAACTAAGTGCAACATGAGACAAGATTTACGACGATCTGGCTGAGCTCACCTCCAGGATGCGATCTCCGGGCTGAAGTCGGCCATCTTTGACTGCTGCACCGCGTGGCAGGATGTTCTTAATCAAAATTGGCCCTGGACCGTGAACTGTAGAGTCCCTGGTTACCACAGTGAAGCCCAAACCCTCGGTGCCTATTTAAGAAACAAAGCAGCATGCATCACAGTGTGTATCTGAAACATTTCTGCCCCTAAAATCAGACTTAATTAAGCTTTTTATGACTTTTTATTTCCATTTTAATTAAATTTTTCCACTCATCTCCCTGTTGAGACAATTTTCTCCTTCCTTTCTTCTGATAAATCACCTGCTGAACCCGGTCTGTGGTTTCAGAGTCGTCCCTTCGAATTAACTACTATTTAAGTGCTGGTTTCCCTAAGGGGGTTAGTTGCCAGGCTCAGCCTCGGAGCCGCCAGGAGAGGCTTCTCTCTTAGCTGGATTAGACAGACGCTGCCTTTAATTTCACGTGTGAGCACGCCGATCGGTGGCTGATGGAGGGAAGCGGAGGAAGAGTTTTGGAAAGAAGGTGAAAGCAGAGGAAAGAGGGGGACCGGAGATCCTTTTCCTGGTTTCCCTCCCTGAGGATGCAAAGTGATTTCCTCGAAGATTCTTCTGGAGTTTGCTAGCTTATGTTGACTTCCTGTGTGTGTTTCTGAAAGCCACACATAAACCGACAACCCCCCCCAGAGCCTCCTCCTTCTCCCTCTTTCACGGCCCCACAAGCCCCAAGCCATGAGTGAAATGTGCCACGCTCAGTCTAAGGCAGTGTGTGTGTGTGTGTGTGTGTGTGTGTGTGTTGGTGGGGGGGGGTAAGCAAAGCCACCGTGGCATACTAAAGGCGGTGAAAGATGCTATCTGGTCTCCGAGCTAAGCCTCTGCCTGCCCTACATTAGCGCACCTAAACCTCCCCGCCTGCCAATCATGGAGAGAAAGCGCCTGTTGCCGAGGGAGAGTAGAGACCCAATAATACCCTCTGCTCTGATCTTGTATCAGGTGAAAAGGATAGAAAGAGGCGAGGGAATAAGAAAAAGAGACAGAGAAAGAAAATCAAACAAAAGAAGGACGGAGAGAAAATGGGGACGAAATGGGGTGGATGGAAAGAAAGAAGCTGACAATAAAACAGTAGTGAAAAGGGCTTTCAGCTAAAGCTAGAGACTGACTGTGGATAGCTACCATGTGTTTGAACATGTAGTCCAATTGCAGTTATCTTTTTGAATAATCCACATCACTAAAACCTGCTGCAACAGACTGTATTCATCACCAAAGAGCACGCTCAGCTATCGACACTCTAGCATTAAAGGATTAACTCGGTCTGGGTTCAAATTTAAAAGCACAACAAATTATCCAAACAGTCCAGTCCAGATCTAGATTCAAAACAATTTCCCACAAACCGATAAAGCAGGGGTCTCAAATTAATTTTCACTGAGGGCCACATGAGCATAATTTATTCTGATGTTTCATGTTCAACTTTGACCGAACAGGAAACGTCACTTTCCTTTTCTCATTTGTCTGAGCACAGCTAACAAACAATAACTGAGCTCTACGTGGTATTTCCTGCATAGAAACAGCGTGTTAACACATCCTCTTATAAACACTGAGAAGTACTACATGTATGGGGGGCTAAACAGCCGTGTTTCCATCAGCATTTTTTAATGCTCATTTTGAAGTATCGCATCAGAAAAGGTGAATGGAAACGGCATGATTCGAGAAATCTTCCTCTAATTCACATAAAAGTTGATACGCTCGCTTGAGGTGGTTTTTGTTTTTTTTTTTTTCAAAAATGACTTAATGCGCAAAAAGAGAGATGGAAACACAACTGTCGAATCAGTTCTGACGTAGAGAACATTTACCTCACACGTCGATCAGCTGTTCTCGCTGTCTGTCCGAAACCGGTCCGGGTACCAGAGCGACTGCAGCCGCTACTGCAGCTGGACCCTCCTCCCACTGTCGGCGTATTCTCAGTAAATCCCGTAACGTGAAAAGAATTGCATTATTTCCTCTACATCTCCAGACAGCGTGTAAAATCGCCAAACCCAGTTGATGACAGAATAATTATAACTTTCCAGATAGTAGCAACACGTTCCTGATAACTTCTCTACATTTTCCTGAGATGCGACTTTTGCTTCCTCTTTACTACACGCATGTGTCTGATGTAATTGATTCGCGTCACGCCAGTTGATGGAAACACATCTGATTTGCATTTCTTCGTTTTTTTCCTTTTTGCAAAATTTTTAAAATTCGCTCAAAATTCGAATTAAAATTGGATGGAAACATGGCTGTTGTGAAATAATAAAGAAATACTATTAAAAGAAAAGTAAGAGAGTTTCACTCCCTGATGAGTTGTGAACTCATTATCTGGGAACTCCCAGGCATGGTCAACATGCATAATGGGAGGTTTAGCTTATGTTTGACATATTAATATAGGGCTATTCAACTAAATTGGTACCACAATTACTCAAACAGTTACTCAAAGCCAACAGCTCAGGGGCAGGACAAGTATCATTATCCTTCACCTTTTAAATGTCTTGTTACATTGCATCAAAAATGTAAAGTTTGGGTTTTTGGCGGGACAGATGGAAATAACCTGCAGTCTAGAATTCGAAACGTGCAACAAAACACCATAGTGACTATTTATACCTTTTTTTAAGTCAATTTTCATCCTCTTGCCCCCCTTCTTGTTGGTAAGGTTTGACAGTCCAGGCACAGCAGAGCTCTTGCTGGCCAGAGGGCTTTGGTTGTAGTTGGTTGTCTTGGGAGTCGGGGAGGACGACCCAGCTGTAGGTGTTGGAGAAGACCTCTCCAAAGACCCGGGCCCAGACCGGGGCTGCACCGGCGACGCAGTCCGCTGGACCGGTTCTGGAGTCATCACGCGCGCTTCCGGTCGCTTAACGTCAGCTTTGTTGAGGTTTGGTTTGGGTTCGRGTTGGGCGTCAGGTCGAGCGCGGATTACCATCGGGCTCTTCGTCGACAGAGGAGGGTCTTTGTCATCACTGGAGAAAATCTGACCAATCAGGGTCTTCTCGTAGCGAGGCTTGTTGGCTACAGGGACGACCTCCACACGCACAGAAGGAGACCCCATGGCTTTCTGGAACACCTTCTGAGATCTACAGGGGAAAAAGAAGATGGGAAAGTATTCACCTTTTTGGCTTTCAAATCTGTAAAATACATCAGAAGAGGGAAATGATAAGTGTTGAGCAGCAAAGAAAACAACAAAGCTACAGAGTACTGCATAAGAAAACAAAAAATATGGAGAGCGAATGAGGCCTGTGGACCTCTTATGGAGCTGTATTTCTGTTTGGACGAAGAACAAAGAAACTCCTCCAGCTGGTGTGGGACATTCAGGTCCCTATCAGATGGGAAGACCTTACAGCAGTCCCTCTGTTTCAGCTTTAATAGACTTCGATCACCGAGTCAGACAACGTCAAGATGGATGCTGTTAAACAGAACCATTCTGCTCTCCCTCCGAGAAAGAGCATGGAGGAAGCACACAACAAAATGTACCATTTACCCCGAAAAGAGGAAAAATTAAGAACAGGAAATAACTTATTTAGCTGTAGAGAGAGAGGATTAGATGGAGAAAGGGGACTTAAATGGTTGATAGGAGGCAAACTTTGAAATAGCGTTTGGACTAAACTCCCAACAAATATTATTTCTATAGTCACAAAATCTACTTGATCCTTAAAAATAGGATAAAACTAAGTTCTACCACATTCTTATCTATATACAGGGTGAGTCAAAAGTCACAGGACACTCTTATCAGAAACAAAAGGGAAAATTTAATCTCTGAATAACCCAGCAAGTAATGGGTGAGGGGGGGCTATCTTTTAGGCTATGCAGGGCTGTGCGGTATATGCGGTAGACAGTAGAAACGGTATGAAGTTGGCCTATGGTAGAAATTTATACTCTACCGTCCTATCGTCATTACGTCATCTCACATGTGTCAATAGGGCTGCGAGTGCAGAGACAACTGAGCAGGAGAAGCTCGAAATATAATGAAGAAATTCTAGCGAATATCTAGTTATATAGTATCTATGTATCTAGATATATAGTATCTAGCTCATTGTTTGGCGGCAGATATTAAAGCAAAAACGTTGGGTTTAATTAAGATTACAGTTTTCTGCAAAAAAAAGCTCTAAAAAATTACATTATCTTAACTTTTTATGATAATTCTCTACCGCGATATATACCGTCACCATGAAGGGGTTCAATTTATACCGTGATATGAATTTGAGGTCATACCGCCCAGCCCTAAGGCTATGTCTGAAAAATGGCTGCCATCTGGACCAAGAGCAAGTTTTTCCAATGGGAAGGTGGACCAGAATTGTATCAGAAATGAATGGTCTCAATCAGATGTGCAATATCTGTTGTGGTTTTTCAATTAATTTAATTAATTATTGTGTTTATTTCATTCATTCATAAAACAATAAAAAATAATCTATAAAAACAAGTCATACAAAATAAAAAACTAAAAAAACAAAAACAAAAACTACAATAAAATCATGAATGAAAAGGAGCAGAAAGAAGTATAAACTTATAATATCTGCTCCTCTTCGCTAAAAAATAAAATCAATTCCAAACAAGTCCACTGTCAGCATACAGAAAAAAAAGAAAAACAAAAGAACCCCCTGAACACAAAAATACAAACAGAACATCACCTTAATCAGTAATATAACACTTCAACATAATAATTTTCAAGTTGTTTTTAAACACAAATAAAGATTTAGACTGTTTCACCTCACTATCAAGACCATTCCACAATCTAACACCCTTTACTGAAATACATCTTTCCATCAGCACATTTCTGAAGTAATTTTTTTAAAGATCTCAATACCTTTTAAATTATATTCACTTTCCCTTTTAATAAATCGGAGTTGAATATTGTTTGGTAACATTATTTTATGTGATTTATTCATAAATTTTTAAAATATTGTACTCAATCAAATCATGAAATTTCAGTATACTCAATTGTACAAATATTGGGTTTGTATGATCTCTGTATTTAGCTCCAATAATAACTCTAATAGCTCCTTTCTGTAAAAGAAAGACTGAGTTTATATATGTTTTACAGGCATTACCCCACACTTCCACACAATATGTCAGATATGGTGCAATCAGTGTTAGACAAAATATACAAAGCCTTATTATTTAATACATCCTTTACCTTATTTATCACTGCAATTGTTTTCGATATTTTACCTTTTATGTAGTTTATATAAGATTTCCATGACAAACGTTCATCAATAATAACACCCAAAAACTTTACTTCTTCTGTTTTTTTGTATTTCAGATCCTTCAACATACAATTGATCATCATCACTTTTTTACTACAAAATATCATAAACCTTGTTTTACCAATATTTAATGATAATCTATTACTATTAAACCATTTTTTTAAATTTTTGTAGATTCATTTCCAACCACCTCTAACACTTTTTTAATATTGTTACCAGAAAAAAAAATAAAGTTGCGTCATCTGCAAATAAAATAAACTTAAGCAATTTAGAAATCATAGTAATATCGTTAATATACAAAAAAAAAAAGTATCGGTCCAAGGACCGACCCCTGTGGTACTCCACAACTAAGTTCCTGCACAGCAGACCTTCTACCACCAATTTCTACAAACTGTCTTCTATTTTTCAAATACCATGTGATCCAATCATATGCTAGTCCGCTGATACCGTATTTATGTAATTTAACCAATAATACCGAGTGATCTAAAGTATCAAAAGCTTTTTGTAAATCTACAAATACACTCACTAGATATTGTTTTTGTCTACTGCTGCTGAAATATTCCTGTTGCAGTTGAGTGATTTGCATGAAATCTAGATTGACAACTGCTTAATATATTATATGTATGAATAAATTTATTTAATCTGTTGACAAATAACTTCTCCAATATCTTTGAAAATTGTGGGAGCAATGAAATAGGTCTATAATTATTGTACTCATGTTTACTCCTACTTTTATAAATTGGCATTACTTTTGCAACTTTCATGTTGTCAGGGAAAATCCCTTTTGCAAAAGACAAATTACAAATGTATGTAAATGGGTGAATAATTAATTTATAATGTTTTAATAATCACCATATTCATGTCAATATAACTGTTACTAGTCTTTTTTGACACTGTTGTACTCTCCTCTACTTCATCAAGATACATACTGTCAACATTATCAACTATTTCTTGACCAATACTATAATCATTTTTAACTACAAGTACAGTATTTGTTGAGCTAAATTAGGAGCAATATTTACAAAAAAATTGTTGAAATCATTTACTATAATATCTTTATCGTAAGCATCTTCAATATTTTTGGTAAAGTAATTTGGGGTTTTTTAAATGTACTTTTTCCTTTTTTATGACTTTATTTGTTATTCCCCATATATCTTTTGTATTGTCTTTGTTTTTACCCAACGATTTACTATAATATTCTTTTTTCTGTCTTCTTATAATCCAAGTCAACTTATTTTTATATTTTTTATACCTCTCTTCTGAATATTTTATCCTTGATTTCAAGAACACTCTGTACAAATTACTTTTTTCTTACCGAGATTCTTCATCCCATTTGTCACTCAAGGTTTGTTGACAGCACTATTCTTAACATTACCTCCTATTTTAATTAAATTGCAGTTCTTACCATACAATCCAACCAAAATTTTCATAAATGAATCATAGGCAATATTGACATCATCATTATACACTTCATCCCATCTCTGTTTCTTAAGATCTTCTCTCAAGTCACTCATTGCTTTACTTGATCTATTCCTTATAAATAGTCCTTATAAATATCTCTGAAGAATCTGATACTATTCTTTAAAAAGAAGAAGCTATCCACCAAGCTATCCAGCTATTCAAAAGCTATCCACAAAGAAAGTTGCAACAACAACAACTGGGAACGTTGCCTGTGATGCACAGCTATTTGACGTTCAGTGTGCTGTCCCTGGTGCTGAAMACAGACGAACGTGACAAACAAAAGTTTGGAACCTCTGTATTAATAACTTCTGAACCACAGGAGACATTGCACATCTGTATTTTACCTGAGGCAGTTCTGGTCTTTTTGAAATGCTACATGACCACCTTCCCATTGGAAAATTGTGACTTTGATCCAATACACCAGCTCTGAAGGTGGTGGCCATGTTGTGGACACAGCCTAAGAGATAGGACCCCTATCTTACCCTAGGTATTCGGATATGTCACTTTGTTTTGTTTTTTAAATAAAAAAGATGTTCTGTGACTTGACTCACCCTGTAGATCCATGCACTAGAGTTGAAGCTGCATTGTGACATTTATTTTATTTTATTTTGTAAGTGTTCAGCAAAATTAAAATGACAAATTCTACTAGAAAAAAACATTTTAGATATTACTATTCAGAGTCATTTCAATTCTTATTTAAAAAATTAATCATATAGGGAAAAGTGATTAATAATGAGTAACTGATAAAAAAAATGTTTGGTTTTTTTTTCTCAGGATAATTGTTTTTTAAGGTCAAACTACTTAAATATCCTTAGGTGAAAAGCTTTTGTTCTAGGTAGAATTGATGTTCTTTTTGTTAAATTAGTCCGAATCTCATGACCTTGTCCTATTTTGAGGTCTTAAAATGTAAAAACTTCAAATAGATGTGCAAAACTACATCCTGCTTTTACAACCATATGTCACAAGTCTGTTGAAAAACATTCATTCCCTGTAGATTTTTAGAACAAGAGTCAGAAAGTTGTCCATGCCAAGTAGGGAGCTAGAGAACAGACAATTAGCTCAACAGTAAAACTACATTTTAAACGCTGGGTGAAAACCTGAGCTATATCTAATCATTTTTAAACAGCTGAATCCATTGGTATTATTAATTATTGTGCTGCCAAAATTCTGCGCACCAAATTCAAAAGTGTGGCCAGGAAAGGTGCTAAAACAACTTTATGTCCATTTAAACAAACATTTCTCAGGTTGATGTCACTAGTGGTCACAGTTACAAGGAGCTACAGACACTTGGACTGTACTCCAACATAGRCGAGGTGTTAACACGAGCCAGTCTGCGGAGGAAGCTCCTTTCAGCCACTTCTACCCAGGATCTCGTTGTTTCAGGCATGATCTATATCTCATGACCACAGGTGAGGTCTAGAATGTAGGAGGACTGGTAAATCAAGCCTCACAGTTCAGTTGCTTTTTCCCATGGCAACAAACCAAAGCAACAGACTTGTCGACCCACCTTCAGCTCCATCCTTTCATTCCTTGTGTTTCAGACTCCCAGACACTAAAACTGATCCATTTGAAGTAAATCTCTCCAACCTGAGGAGATGATCCCGCCTTGTCTTCCAGTTTTGGTGGTTATTGGTTTTAGTTATTATTATCTGGCATATTTGTTTGTTTAAGAACCTTTAGATTCAAAAAGGTAAAACAAATTGATTTTGATTTGTTAAGTGATCTCATTATCCAATGATTTCTTTTTGTCTTTTCAGATCTAATAAGAAAAATTAAAAATAAATGAACAGACGAGGCTCTCAGGAACACATATTAATGCACAGTTGGCTTCGGGCAGATGGTGCAGCAGGGTTTGAACAATTCACATTCTTGTTCAAGTTCCTGTTTGCTCATTATATACAAGACTTAAAGGATCAGCTCACTGGAACTCACTATGGGTTATTTGGTACAGCCACATGCTATATGTTCCTAATCACTCTGACTTCCTGCCAGATCTCCTCTGTGTGACGCTGCTTTCTTCTTGTTTTACTCCACAAACAAAACCATATGTTCAGCTGTGGTTAAACAATTATTAAAAATGCTTTTAGTTTTGTAAGAAAAAGTAAAACTTTACTCAGTTTATTGTTTTCTGTGGTCATGACTTGCACTCAAACATTAACTCATCCACACCCTATGATGCTTACTCAGCAAAAGTTTTGTCCTGTAGCGGCGTGTTGTTGATTTGGACRATGCATTCGTCTTCCTTGAAGAGGTCCTCCTTTTTGGACCGACTGTTCGGCTCCACACCTTTGATGTGGAGGCCCAGAGTCCTGGCAGAAGAAAATTTAGAGACAAACGGTGATTCAATGCATGTAATACATAAATATTTTCTGTTCTTATACGAGTAAACACTCCCATTTGCCCATCCTCGTGACTATCAAAACAAATCTGAAACAAATCTCTGTGTGTGTGTGTGTGCGTGCACAATTACCTTCCACTGAGAGACGAGCAGTAAGGGACCACATGGATCCCCAGGGGCCCCCGGTCACCTGGGAACTCAACTGTCCTCGTCAGAGTACTGCCAAGAAAATAAATCCGTGATAAGCAGCAAACAAACCTAAATACACAAACACTGTAAAACACACACATACACACACACACTCCCAGTCTTCTGCAGGCTCTTCAAAACCCATTTGCATTTTCCTCTAAGCAACACAGATAGGGGTACAAATCAGCTTACAGGTAGTCCTGCCAAACATTACGGTGTGTGTGTGTGTGTGTGTGTGTGTGTGTGTGTGTGTGTGTGTGTGTGTGTGTGTGTGTGTGTGTGTGTGTGT